AAAAATTAAAAAAAAAAAAAAAAGAATACTGAAATTTTATATTGCCAGAATCAACAAATTTGTATCTTGCTGGCAAAAATGTGTAGATTGTAATGGATTTTATTTTAATAAAGTTACATTTGAGTAGAATTATAGAATTTCAAAGCTGAGGTTTCAAAATCTGCATCATTTTTGTGACAATGTAGTATTTCCAAACTGCCTTCTTTCTTTTTGTGATGGTCGTGCTCCTGTAAACATGTTTAGCAGTTCTAAAACATGCCAGACTTTCTATAAGAAGCAAGCAAGAACCATCCCTACAGAGTGACACACTATAAAAAAGGCAATGATTCTCTCTGTCCAGATAAACTGGTTTTATGACAGGAAGTTGAGTGTTTGTGGTGAACCATCCAAGCCAGTTTTCCAAATGATTGAGCTGAGGCTTGAATGTGTTAAGGCCAGGAACAGATCAAAGATAATGTTGGCTATTACGAGATGCAATTTGAACTTATAAGAGAGAAAAGGCTGAATAATCTAAAGCTTAGTTTGTTTTTATTTTGTTACAAGGACAACTTAATCCTGAGATTTTTTTTTTTAAATAAAATTTTTTTATTTTATACCGGTTTACTTAAAAAGTTCATATACATTGTTTTTCACACTAATCTTTCCCCTTTCTTTTATACCCCCCTCCTTCTACCCATCAAATTGTACAGCCCTGTGATTAACCCCCCAACCCATCCTCACCCTTCCGCCCCCCTCCCCGCCATGGATCCTCTACGCAGCTCGCAGGAGCAATGATTTTGTAAATTACCACCTAACTTGGGAGGGCCTGGAGAGCATTATGCTGAGTGAACTAATTCAGTCCCATAAGGACAAATACTGTATAAGACCATTATTGTAGAGATTCTTTTTAAAAATGTATTAATTTTTGTTGTTATGTGCATTAAGTCAGAACCAAACCAGGTGACACTCCACTAGACTTTCAAAGGCTATAAATCACACTGGAGGAGACTGACCATCTTTCTCCTTCAGAATATCTAGTGGATTTGAATCACTTGTCTTTAGGTTGGTAGTACAACTCCCTTACCCAGAGCTCCCTTTAGTGTGTAAAGTGCTTATCAAATGCAAGACATCATTATTTATTATAGCTAAAAGTCTACCACAAAAGAACATGCTGCTCAAAATACAGTTTTGAACAGCAATGAGTCTGAGAGCTACCCGAAAGTTGGAAGTCACTTCAGAATCATTTAGCTCATCCTCCTACAATCACTAATAAGTTATATGAGTCTTGAAAAACTATATAGAACTCAGTTGCCTTAAGGGTCAGAAGTTGAATTGTCTTTCTACAAACTAGTCCAATATAACAAACTTTCTCCTAAGGGAGCTCTAGTAGCACCGCCACAGGGAGTTCACTGCTATCCCAAAGGCCAAGTCTGACAGTTTGAATCCACCAGCCACTACTTGGGAGAAAGACGCACAACCTCCGCGTGTGCATTTTACAGCCTTGGAAACCCAATGGAGGCTCAGCTATGATATGAGCGGACCCTGATTGGATAGTAATGAGTCAGTGGGTTATTCCTACCTCACTCTCTATCCTGGATTTCAGTTGGTCAATGTCATCAGATAGCTTATGCACCTGAGTTACCAAGTCTTGTGCAGTCTGCATGCTGGGCAGGAATTCACTGTACTTCTTGCTGATCATATTGCACACCTCACCCTACAGCATGAGCGAAAATGAGATGAGAGAGCGCACTGTGAAAATTATACAGTTTGTCCCACATAAATCATCTTCTATAGTGGAGTTACTCATACCCATACCCACTTACTTTTCCTTCCAGCAAATGATTTTCTTTGAAAAATACACTTCTCTTACCCTTAAAAGGTCCTATAACATATTAGGATGCAAGAAGACATAATTGACAAACTCCAAAAGTTACTCATTACAACATTTAACATTCAACACCCATCTCCCATTGACCAGCCCCTGATGTGATTGATGTCCTAAGTCTCAAGTAATCAGGATTTCTCTGATTCTGACCATATCGTGCTACTGTCAGTCTCTTATGATGTGGTCAGTATGACTTAAAGTTGTTAAGTACTTAAGTTACTTTAAAAAAAAAAACCTAAACCAGAAGTTCTATTTCATTATAGCAAATCTGACTAAAGATACTAGTGTTAATCATGTATCTGATTAAAAAGAAGGGAGATCTGGTGGCTCCGTGGTAAAGACTTGCACTGCCAACGCAAAGGCAAGTGGTTCAAATCCACCAACTGCTCTGCAGGAAAAAGATGGGCAGTTTCCTCCCATGTGACTTGCTACCTGTGAAAACCAGCTGGAAGGCCAGCTGAGTCAGTTCTAACTTGATGGCACATCACTACAATGATTATAAAAGAAAATAAATGGACAAATTAGATCTATCGTCGGAGTGCCTCAATCAATTTATTAACGTCTATCTTCATAGCTAGAAAATACGATCTCAGTTTCATCACTTTCTTTAAACTGATTTAATAAGCGAATTACTGAATGTCTACTAAGTATTCAATGCTTTAAAAGAAACACAAGTAAGACTATACTTGCCCATGGATAGATTCATTTAGGCAGAGTACAAGACTGAAATGTGATAGTGCAAATGATGCCCAAATGAGAAAAGATCATTCCTGCTGGAGGGGATTTCTTTTTCCCCTTTGAGATGAATGAATGTGGGTTGAAATACAACAGGAGAAAATAGTAATCTAGACAAAGGGGAGCAATATAAATAAAATGAGGCATCTGGGGGTGGGTGGGAAGTGGGACTGCTTGAAGCACAAAAACAAATTCTTAATTGGCTAAAGATTTAGTTTGAGAAAGAAAGTAATAACAATCTTTAATAAAATGTTGGATCTAGAACATGTAGATGCCTTGAGCATCAAGCATTCCCTCATTTAAAAAGTGCAGAAAATCCCAAAGACAAGTCAAAGGAAAGATGCTGCGCCCTACAATCCAGACTTAATTCACTTATAAATAACTTTAAATCAAAGCAACAAAGATAGGGGTATCTTTGAAAAGATAAAATATCATCAGTATTAAGTGAAGCTTGACTTGACACTGTGTACTTTTTGCTTTCAGATCAAGCAGCTGGATCCAAGTAAGTGCCACTCAGCATTTTTTAACTCTCAGACTAGTCTAAAAAGCTTGAGATGGAAAAGTTGTTGTAAGGTGCCAACAAACAGATGGAGACCTTGTCTGAATCTGGACTATTCTCACAATCCTCTCAATGACTGAATATTAGTTTTTGTTAATCGGTTTCATTTTTAAAAATGCTCACTAGTTGGAGGGCAGAGTTATTATATTCGTCAACAACCAGTACAAATAGACAAGAAGAGGAGTGGGTAGAGGAGATACACACAAACTTGGGGAACAGGTCCCACCCTCCTTTGCATTCTTCTCACATGCCCACTCCCTACTGAATTCAGTGTAAGTCAGTCCCCCGTCTCCTTCTCAGTTTACTCTGCCAATATTCCTCCTCCTCGACTCCATTCCTGTCAAGCTAGCCCCACTCTCCAGTTCTCCCCCAGCCACCACCTGCCTACCTACAGTCCCAGACCTCTCCTCTCGGCCAGTCCCCAACCACAGCTTGTCCTCCCGCTTCAATCTCTGTCTTAAAAAAAAACAAACCACACATTCCTCAGCCCTCTTCTCCTTTCCATTCAACCAGCCCGTAAGTCCTCATTCCTCTCTCCAGTTCACTCACGCAGACACCCAGAACCCTCTTCCAGCCAGTCGACAACGACCTCGCCCTCACCCTCACCTTGATCTCCTCCACCTGCCGGGTCAGGCGGCTGATCCGAGTGCCCAGATCCTCCTTCTCCAGCCTACCCGAGTGTGCTAGAACTTCTGTCACGAAGGACGCCATCGTCACAATCCACACCAACAGTTGACAGGGTCTTTGTAGCTCTTGGCCAGCGCGGCAGCTCCAGTCCCGCCAGAGGCCTTGGCGCGCGGCTTGCTGGGAAATGGAGTCTCGCTGTCCCCAGTCTCACGGCTGAGAAGCCAAGATCTGTACTACAACTCCCAGGAGGCCATACGCCAACAGTACTCTGGGATTTCCACGGTGTCCCGTAGTTGCAAATTATAGGGAGTTGCGTTTCCCTTCCGTGCAGTTTTCAAATCGCTTACTTTTTCCCGCGGATTCTTCACTGGAAGAAATGGAATGCTTTTGTTTTTTAAAGGTAAAAAGTAATGATAGATTTATTAGAAAGTTACATCCCAAAGGGACGGACCTTCCTCCTTGAAATATGAAGGAGGCCCCTTGCTAGTAAGATAAGGAGATATTTACTGCTTTCTCTACACAGGCCGTTGTCGTCCCCCCCCTCCCCAAGGAGTTGCAATCCCGAAGGCACATGGTTCGAGGCCACCGGCCATTCAGTGAGAGAAGGATGTGCGGTCTCCTCTTATGCGATTAACTGTCTCTGAAAACCCGTCAGAGGGTCAGCTATGAGTCTTTTCTGACTCCATTATACTCCACAACAGCAACAACCAACAACTACAAAGGAATCTGGTTTATATCTGCAGAAAGAACTGTTGGGGAAGCTTAGTATCACTTTCAACCATCAAGGTTATAGCCAAGTGCTTCATGGTTGGGTCACCTACGCCTCTTGCATATATTACCTTGTGTCCTTAGGTGCTGTCAGGTCAAGTACAACTTATGGTGCTCCTGTGAACAACAGATCAGAGCCCTGTCATATAATGTGCCAACCTCGTCATCTCTGACACACTTGAACCTATTGCAGCAGTCACTGTGTCAGTCCATCTCATGGAAGGTCTTCCTCTCTTCTGCTGACTCTCCACTTTTGCAACCATGATATCCATTTGCCAGGAATAACATGCCCAAAGAATGTGAGGTGAAGCTTCATAGTTCTTGCATTTAAGGAACACTCTGGCTGCACTTTCTCCAAGACATACTTGTTTGGCTTTTAGCAGTCCGTGGGATATTTAATACTCTTCTCCAACACCACAACCCAAAAGCATCAATTCTGTCATCCTTATTCATTGTTCAGTCCTTAGATGCATAGAAAGTGATTGAAAAGACCCTGACTTGAATGAGACACACCTTAATCTTTAAACTGACACGATTGCTCCTCAGTACTTTGGAGAGGTCCTTGGCAGTAGATTTCTGAATGTATTACATCTGCTGATCTCCTGACGGCTTGTACCAAAGGTGCTGATTATGGATCCAAGTAAGATGAAATTGTTGACAATTGTTCAATCTTTTCTCCATATTATAATGTTGCCTATTGGCCCAGTGGTGAAGATTGTTGTCTTCTTGACGCTAAGATACAATCCATATACTGAAGGCTAGCAAGGTGTGTCATCTGCATAACGCAGGTTGCTAGTGAGCCTTCCTCCAGTCCTGATGCTACATTCTTCTTAATAAAGTCTAGCTTCTTGAATGATTTGCTTAGTATACAGATTGAATAGGTATGAGCAGTGATACAACCCTGATGCACATCTTTATTTTTAAACCATACAATGTTCCCTGCTCTGTTCAGACAAAAGCTTCTGGGTTTATATATAGGTTTCAGATGAACACAATCAAGTGTTCTGTGATTCCAATTCTTGTCAGTGTTAGCTATAGTTTGTTGTGATCCTCACAGTCATATGCCTTTCCATAGTCAATAAAATACAAATATACATTCTTCTAGTATTCTCTGATTTTAGTCAATATCCATCTGACATTAGCAATTATATCCCTGATGCCGTGCTTTAACCCAGCTTTAATTTCTGCAGTAACTAAATATACTACAATGAAGTAGTGCATTTCATATTTCTTTAAAATAACAACAAAAGGACATTCCTCTCAAAATTGGATCAATAGGCAGCATCATAATAGATGGAGACAATTTCACTTTCCTTGGATCCACAGTCAACATGCATAATAGCAGCAATTCATTATATAATAATCGCAATACATAATAATATATATAATAATCATAATAGCAGCAAATAGTTGACAAATCAAAAGATGTTCTGTATTAGACAAATCTGCCATCAAAGACCACTTTAAAATGCTAAATAGCAAAGATGTCCGTTTAAATACTAAGGTGTACCTGACTCAAGCCATGGTATTTTTGGTTGTTTCATATGGATGTGAAAGTTGATTTATGAATAAGGAAGACAAAAAAATTATATTTTTGAGTTGTGACACTGACAAAGAATATTGAATATCCCATGGACTGCCAAAAGAGCAAATCTGTCTTGGAAGAAGTGCAACCAGTCCTGTGGACTTTGGGTTAGCAATGAACTCCCTACAGATTATGCCACCACAGGGTTCTTTATTTGTATTACCTAAAAGCTGGTGCTATTTAGCCATTACATTAAGCTTCATCTGTTCTCCAGCTACCTTAACTGGAGAAACATGGCCTTGCAAATTTATCAACAGCTGTGGGACTAGACTAAGAGAAGGTGTGCTTCCCACAATGAAGAGCAAGACTCTGTTGAGAGCAAGAGTCTGGTGATGGTGGTGGAGAGACTGTGGCAAGGTAAAACCTGAAGCTTCTTGCATTTGAGCTGTCCACAGTTAAAGCTTTTACTGATCTTGCCAGATGCTGGAAGGAGATGCTGACTTATAACCACTTTGAGGCAAACCTTGATGGATGATTTGGATTTGACTGCTGAACCAAAACTAGACCCTGGACTAATTGAGGAATTTTGCCTTGGGACTGTTGGGCTAAAACCTGGATTTGCATTGTATGATATTCTTTGCCTCTGCCACTCTCCAGCCCTAATAAAACCTATTCTTGCTACCATAACTGTGAATCAACAACAAATAAATGACCCTCTTGCTGCTGGTGCAACTCTAGAGGAACCATGGGGCTGGACTATGTACTCTTTATCTACTTTATGGTGAGAGGCTGTGCTATTCTTATTCCCTCTGACCCTTTCAGAAAAAAATGCTTACAGCCTGATGGTAAAAAAACTGCCTACAATCCTGAAGGTACATAGTTTGAATCCACCAAAGTACTCCACAGGAAAAAAATGGGCAGTTTCCTCCTATATGATTAACTTCCTCTGAAAACCTACTGGAGGGGTAGCTATGGTTCTGTTCAAACTCAACAGCACATAACAACAGACACCCAGGTATAAAATACCCCCTTATCTGCACTTTTCCTCCTTATGCAATAAGCATATACTTCTTTTGAGAATGATTAAATGGTTACCTTTTTGGTTTGTGTGTTCTACTTTTTTTTTTTAAAAAAAAAAAAGACGTTTTATGAGAGCTGACTCTAAGTAGGTGCCAACCCAAAGGACTATGACAATATTAAATGTTTGTGGGACAAAGCAAGGGACATTCCAGATGATCCTGCTTGCCTGCTTCCACCCCTATGTTACTTGATAGTCGCTGGTATAGCAGGTGTCAGCCAGATAAAATTCAAGGTAGTTCTCTTTTCAGATGCTCCTCCTTGTTGGCTAGCCCATATCTTTGTTTTCACTTTGTGGTATGCCACAAAGATGCACTAGTTGAAAGCATGAATAGGTGAGCATCCTGGTCACATGTTTATGTTGTAAGTTTAATAAATTCACAGTTTCTTCTTTTGCCAGGAAATACAGTCTTCTCATGCTGTGTGACCAGCGTGGAGGAACAAGACAGAAGCAAACACTGCTGCAGCCTGGATGGTAAGCTCATGAAATACCAAAGTCCCAAGTCACCTGGCTTAAGTCTTGAATCAGTTGTTGATCAGCTCAGGGACCTTGACACATCACCCAACAAATACTTTACAGTACCAGTGTGAAAATCAAATAAATATAAAGTAAGCAGATAAAAGTCTGTCACTCTGTAGCACTCAGTAAGTGCAAATTATTTCCTTTCCTGTCCGAACCTGCTTTTTGGAAGCAGCCACAAACACGAATGGAAGCTGGTGTGGTTATCTATTTGTAGCCATTGTCGGGGCTGCAGCATCTGAGGAGGCAGTATTTCCTGTTGGTGTATTCTGGCCTTGAGTCTGGCTTCCTTGAGTTGAAGGATGTTTAATTAAAAATATAAATAAATTAAAATAGTATTTGTGTGTGTGTTTTCCCTGCTTGCAAAATGCTAGATGACAGCTTTGGAAAATGTATAAAATATAGGTAAGTACATATAAGAAAAAGCACTCAAAATAATAATCCTACTACCAGATAAAATCAGTAAATGAGTGTCTATGTGTGAGAGAGACAGAAAAGGGAGAGTCAGACCCAAGTGGTGCAAGCAGCTAATGCTTAACTGCTAACCAAAAGATTAGAGGCTTGAGTCCACACAGAAAAGATTAGACATTTGAGTCTACACAGAGGCACCTTGGAAGAAAGTCCTGGTGATCTACTCCCCCAAAATCAGCCACTGACACCCCTGTGGAGCGCATTTCTACTCTGACGCACATGGGGAATTCATGAGTTGGAATTAAGTGAATAAATATAAATATATATGAATACATGTATATACAACTATATCTATCTATCTATCTAATCTTATCTATTTTATCTTGTGATTAGCTGTTGTGAAGGTTATTGTTTTTCTTAGTTCCAACTCTGAATTCTCTTTGTCACTGTAGAGAAATCTATCAACTATCTACCTATCTAGTTGTTATGACAGCTCTGAGCCCTGACCTTTCCTGAGCTAGTCTCACTCTGATAGACCTACCCCATTGCCCAAGTCACTGAGTTATTCCATCTCATCCATGGTCTTCCTCTCTGACACTGTCCCTCCACCCTTGCAGGCATGACGTCCTTCTCCAACCTTCCCAAAATATGTGAGATGAAGCTTCAAAATCCTTGCCTCCACAGAGCAATTTGGTTTCATCCTCTCCAGGACAGAGCAGTTTGTTCTCTTGGCAGTCCATGGAGTTCTCATGACGTAGTGGTCGGGAGCTGCACTGCCAAACCCAAGATACATGTTTAGAATCTACCAGCTGCTCCGTGGGAGGATGGGCTGTCTCCTCCTGTGCAATTTACCGCCTCTGAAAGCCTACTGTAAGGTC